ATTGTTGGAAAGGATTCAGAGGAGTGCAAAGAGAATGGTGCCTTGGATAGGGAGGGGGGATTGTTATATGAGGACAGGTTAAACTGAAACTTTTCTCTTGAAAAAAATAAGAGTTAGAGGGGATCTGATTGATGTGTTTAAGATTGTTAAGGGAATTGATAGTGTTGATGCATCATTTTTTTCATAGTTAATGGTGAGAATGGTAGAACTAGGAAACACAAAAAGAAATTTTGGCAGGGTAGGAGTCATCTTCAGCTAAGACTTTTTTATTTTTCTAACATGGTGGTTGTCCTTTGGAAGGGGTTATCTTTGGATGTTGTGGAGGCAGTCAATTTAAGTGAGTTTAAGAGAAATCTTAATAAGTGTATGAATGATAAGGGCTGGCTTTGATTTTTTTTAAAAATAGTTTTAGTTTAGTTTAGAGAATGGGATAGCCTAGATGAACTAACAAGTCCCTTGTTGTCCCTACACATTATGTTATCACTATATCTCCCCTCGCTCAAACTTTTTCAGTCACAGGAATAAAGGTTAAACTACTTATTTCTTAAAATCAGTTTGTGCCCATCACTGAAAATAAAAAACAGTACTGTAAAATGTCTATACAAGCATACAGCTAGTTAGAAAAAGCCAATATTAATTCATTAAATATCTCTACTTATTGACCAAATCAATTTCTTTTATAACTTTCATTACTTGATGTAGCTTCTTATAACTTAAGATCATAATATAAATAGCTGACATTACAGGTGTCTGATGTCTTAAAATTTTATTTTATAATGTTTGCTTTGCATAAATTATCAGTTAACCTGGACCACCCTTGAAGAATGCTGCTAATCCTTCTTCCCTTATTATCTTCCCAAAGGCATCTATCACACCACTGTAAGTAGTTTGGCCTTGCCTAGCTTGAACCTGTAGTCTAGTCTTGATAACATCTGCAGGGGTAACTAGGTAAGCAGCTGGTACACCTAAAAAATAAGAGGATATTTATTAGAAAGAGCAGGATTATATAGATAGATGGATATGAACGGAAAACACTAATTATAAATAACAGGTTTACAACTGTCACACTGCACAATTTAATTATTTTGTTTGTTTGTTTTGGATTTTCGCACAAAGCTACACGAGGGCCATTTGCGCTAGCCGTCCCTAATTTAGCAGTGTAAGACTAGAGGGAAGGCAGCTAGTCATCACCACCCACCGCCAACTCTTGGGCTACTCTTTTACCAACGAATAGTGGGATTGACCGTCACATTATAACGCCCTCACGGCTGAAAGGGCAAGCATGTTTGGTGTAGCGGGGATTCGAACCCGCGACCCGCAGATTGCAAGTCGAGCGCCTTAACCACCTGGCCATGCGGGGCCACTGAATTTTAATTATTTAAAACAAATGAAAATGACAATTATATTATTAAACTTTTTTAACACTTTAAAAATTCACACACACACACACACACACAGATCTGTGTGCTACGTAGTGAAATTAACTATTATAATCAAGTAGTTTTCAGACTGAAAAGTTATTTGTGACCATCAAAAAAAAATACAAGAATTTAGAACTGTATTGTTAACTACATGATAAAATTCTATTTACAAATAAGCTCTTGATTTAATCTGCAACACAGAATAGTTTTAATGCACTTATTTCAGAAGTAGTTTGCTTAATAACATTGTCAATAGGCAAAAAAAAAGTCACCAAGAACTGAATAAAATAAATTATTTGTGCAATTAAAAGTAAGGATTGTCCTTCTACAACATTGTTCAGCTTGATCTTGTTGCAAGTATGTCAGGTACTTATATTATAACTGCATATGTAGTAAGTTAAATATATAGGTGTGTTAGGCTGAGGATTCTTCAACAGTAGGTGTCTCTGCCTTTTTGTGATAAATTTGATAATAACAGAACAGCATGCACTCCACTTGTTTTTAAAATAATATATATATATATATTTATCAAACTAACTAAACATATGTACAGAAATCCCTTACACTACAGAGATCATAGGTATATCATAAACACTACATAGTTTTCTTCTTGTCAAAAGTCTGCTTAGGCCAACTCAATTGCTTTAGAATTCAGTTGACAAGCCAAACAATTTTTCTCTATTTCTTATCGCTATAGTGTCCATGTATAGTTCACTTATGTTACTGCAGTTGTATCCTGAACTTCCAATAATTGTCTGTTCTTCGTACCTCCAGTAATTGTCTGTCTTTTGTTGAAGTCCACTTAGGTGGGTTCAATTACTTTAGAACACCCATTGACAAGACAATTTATTCTCCTTATCTCTTTCAAAATTGTTAATCTTACTCTAATATATCAACCATTAGGCCTTTCACTCCCATGACAGTTAACTTTGCATTTTATAACTTTTTTCTCTCACCAAACTTCTCTTTCACATGAATTTACTTTTATCCTCTCTCTTTGTTTCTGCTCGTCTGGTCTAGCTATTTATACATCTTTCACTTAGGCCTTCTAGAAATCTATATATACTTGACATCAATGAATCATAAACACAATGTACAATTCTTACCGAGTTACATAACCAAACTTGTCATAACTATCACCTTTAAAATAATTGCTTTTAACTCTCTTGTTATGAAAAAACTATACAATCATGAAATAATCACTTACAAATATAACTATAAAAAGGAGTTGTAATATGACAGAAGAAAGAAATAATAATGTTATTAAAATTAGGTGTCAGTTTGGGAAATAAAAAATGCTCTAATTTTATTACAGAAATTAGGTGCTTCTAGTTATTCATTTCCAGATTTATAGTTTTAGTTTAAATTAAAAATTAATGTTATCAGGATAGATGTGAAACTTCAGGAAATTCTTTTACACATGAAAGTTGTTCACAAACTAATTTTGGGATTTAAAACTGAAACAATTGGACAGAGTTGTATTGTGTTCATCATTATCCTAGTATATTAACACTATAAAATATTTACATGTTATATGAGATTAATTTGAAAATAACTTTTCCCCATGGAAACATTAATCAAATGTAATCCAAAGCTTAATGTTATTGAGACAGAGTTCTATATGCTGGATGAATAAAAATTAAAAAATTATATCTTCTCCAATGATAAATCCAATCAAACACAAATAAACAAGAACATAAACTGTGCATACATCTATTAAAATATGAACTCACTATTTAAAAATTTCTTCCAATAGATGTTAAAACACCAATTAAATATATATTATTTTTTTTTTAGTCAAAGCAAAATGTGAGAGAATATTTTCTAGTTACATCTAAAGAAGTTTGAGGTTGCTCCTAATGCTTCAAGAACCTGCCTGATAAGCTGACAAACATCTAAAACTCACATTATTTTAATTCTGATGCAATTCTTCATGATAATTACAATAACTTAATTATTGAAAATGCATAATTATGATGAGTTTGAGAATGTAGCCTGATAGGTACTTACCTCCTATCACCAGACTAGCTATTATCGTTTAGTGCTGCCCTATTTATGCAAACGTTTTCTTTAGGTATGTCACAACCCTTCCGCTTCCCTATATTGGAATTGCTATATTCCAACATGTCTCTCATGCAAATCATCATGTGTCACCTCCTAACCAATAGGAGCATGATATGTTCACGTGATGCATGTGATTCCCTCTACACACCTCTACCAAACTATCACCTCGAAGTTTGGCAGAAGATATCAGCACTGGAGAAAAGTGGTGAGGAAAGGTGGGAAGTGTGAGTGGAGGGAAGTGCCTATCGGAAATACATTTTCAGTATAGGAAAATTATAACTTCCGATACAGTACCTACCTCCTCTCACAAGATTAGCTACAATCCCATATGAGAAGGAGGAGGTACCGGTGCGAGGGGATGAAAGTACCCCTCAAAAGCATCCAAAGGATACCCCTGAAAATGAGAGATACAGATCTGAAGATGGGAACTGCACCATTTCTGAGCCAGAAGCCTATCTGGATCAGGTCGAGGGTAAAGATGGGAAATAGGTGAAAAGAAGGAACCACCCTAACAAGCTGCCGAGGTCTTCGAGAGAAAGGAACAATCTGGATAAAGGAGAAGAAGGGTAGGGTGATAAAGGGTACATGAAATGTCAATGTTAAACAAATTGGACCATTGATGTCCACAGGCTAAGAGAAGAATGAAACATGTTTAAGGGAAAGATGAAACAAGGTGCACAAGGAAAGTGGTTCAAACAGAGGTAAAGTAAGAGAATGGAGGACCACATTAACATCCTAATCCAGAAGGGGAGATCGTCTGGGAGGGAACATATCCGGAAGGAAAGCATGAGCATGGGAAATAAAAACTCTGTGGTATTGGGAAAAACAGATCATCTCGTAGGGAAAAAGGAAGGGAAATGGGGTTTAAAAAAGGATCCCCAGCAAGGTTCCACCAATTGTGAAGCACCCATTGAAGGGATCTCATATGGGCATGACCAAGGGGGACCAGTGATGTCATTGATGACCATTTCCCCAAAGGTAACAGAACCTCATAAGCAGTAAGTGATGAAACCAAGAGGGCGTGGCAAATAAACAAGTTTATAGAATGAAATCGGACAGTAGAAGACTGGGCCCAATTGATACGAGTATCAAAAAAGACACCCAAAAGTATGAGATATTGAGGATGTCTGAGGAAGAACTTCTCCAGTTTGATTAACCAGGCCACTTGAGCAGCCACTAAAGGGAGGTACTGAGTATGGCTGGCCGACTCTGGTTTGGAATGAGCCAGAAGAAACGAGTTGTCCATGTATGAGAGAAACTCAAAGCCGGAGCATAAAGATATCGAGAAATGTTCAGACTGCCTGACAGAAGACACAAGGGACCAAAGCAAACCCAATTGTTAGTGCACCAGATTGATAAACCACCCTAAGATGGTAAAACCAAAGTAAGGATGAGACCAAGGTGATATATGTATATGGAGATAAACCTTGGCGAGATCCATTGTGGTCATCCATAAACCCAGAGAAAATGCCTACATCCGGGTAAAAAAAGACTCCATGGTAAACAAAGGCAGATGAATGAACTGTTGAGGTGAGATAAATCTATGACCAGCTTCCAGTCCCCATATTTTGTGGGAACAACAAAAGTTGGGAATAATAACATGTTGGAGGATGTAGAACAGGTTCAATGACTGCTGAGATAGCAATGCCCGAACTACTACCAACAGATGCTGACAGGTTACAGGATTCCGAGAAGGAGGGAAGGAATCCTGGATGGTGGAGAAAGGAAAGAGATCATGAATCCTTGTAACAAAAACTGAAGAACTCATTCATCTTTGACAAAGGAACCCCAGCGATAAAAAATCTGCAAGCCAAGCTCCCATCAGACCAAAACCCACTGACTATTTGCCAGTACTGGTAGCAACTTGAGGTGTGTCATTGAAAAACAAAAATGAAGAGAAGAGTCATCCCGAGGAGAAGTAATAGGTAAGGGTTCGAAAGGGGAAGGATGGGAAACAATAATAGGAGGAATATGGAGCTCTGTTTGAAATGAAAGTGCAACAATATTGGTAAGGGAAGATTGTTGTTGGAATGATGCCACCCATGATTCTATTGTTTCTGGGATCATGTCAAAAATATATTGTTGCAGAAATGAAGCCATATGTAAATCCTGAAACTAAGTCGATGGATCTGAGCCAAACCAGCAACATAACCTAAAGGGTCCCAACAACAGAGAAACCACGTATGCTAAGCCAGAGCTGTTGGCCAATGTAATGTTTGACCTTCCAGTGGATAAATGCGGAAAATCCCCCATCGGGTCGCCTGAGGCTTGAGAAATAACGCAAATCACTGGTGTGACTCCCAAAGTGGGAATAAGATTTTGGGAATTCATTATGAATAAGAGTTTTCCAAATTCGAGCAGCAAAGAAGAATAATGCGATGGGAGCTAATTGATAAAATTTGTTTAATTGAAGAAATAGTCATAATGAAAACTAAATAAATTAAAGAAAACCACTTTGTGAGGAAACTTAAGCAGAACATGAATCTTTAAACACACAAAAAGCATGTTTGAACACAAGCACTGCCAAATGAGAAATGATAGTTTGGTAGAAGAGTGTAGAGGGTATATACATGAGGGCTATCTGCACTAGTATCCATAATTTAGCAGTGAAAAGGCTAGAGGGAAGGTAGCTAGTCATCACCACTCACCAGCAACTCTTGGGCCACTCTTTTACCAACAAATAGTGGGATTGACAATCACATTATAATGCCCCTACGGCTGAAAGGGTGAGCATGTTTGGTGGGGTGGGGATTTGAATGCGCGACCCTCAGATTGCAAGTCAAGCATCCTAAGCACCTGGCCATGCTGGTCTGAGCGTAGAGGGAGTCACATGCATCATGTGAGCAAATCATGATGACTTGCATGAGAGCCGTGTTGGAATATAGCAATTCCAATAGGGAGGAGCAGAAGACTTCAAGCATGTGTAAAGAAAAAGTTCGCATATAGAGGGCAACACTGAACGAGAATAGCTAAGTACTGGATAAGAAGTATTTAGTATACTTTTCGTCAAACATTTAAATGCACATAAGAAGAAAGAGATGAGGAAGTTATGCTTGTGGAGATTATCACCAAAAAAGTTACTAATAATTACAAATTTGTTTTTATTTACCTTGCATATTATTTTGTTTGGCTAATAGCACCTAGATTTTTAAAGGACATGAAGCTCATTCATAGAATTTTGAGTCTAAACTAACTGGCTATTATATCAAGAATCATTTACAAATGGAAGAACATTGAAAATTACCATTTAAATAATTAAAAACAGACATGAAATAAAGAAAGTGTATTTTGTACATTTTAGGGATTTTTATGTTTTGTAACTTTTTTTACAAAAAAACACTAAAGAAAATTAAACTTTGTATGGCATTGAATAAATATTTTTGTAGCAATTGAATCTACAGATTTTAAATGTGTGCATGTGTATGTGGTCGATCATATTTTTCAACTGAAACCTTCAAAGTAAATTACATACAGGTCAAAGAAATTTCAACAAATTAGCAAAATATTTAGACTCTCCCTCAAAATATAAGCCTTTAGATCTTATAAATGTTTTCAAAGTTTTGAACTTTTATGTAAAGGAAATATACAGTATCAGAATGTAATTCAATAATAATTAAATACAGTTTACTTTCACATCATGTAAAACACCTGAAAAGATTTAATCTGGTAGTCACAAACCAGTATTTTATGGGTAAATAGCAAATGCCATACAATACTTTAAGTTTATAACAATACTAAACATATCTTACTCTTACAGAAACAATATGCAGATAAATATATATATAAAAGTTACACAAAAAATGTTTTTTTGCTAAAATTTTTCAAAATTACAGAGTTGAAGCAAACAAAAACAATACAAAATTACAAATAATTTTCTATACAGACTGTCATAAATTATATAAAAATATCTGTATACTTACACACACACATATGTACATTGCAGGTGGATAGAAATAGTAATAGAACCATTATATGATAGTTTTACTGCTATTATTTTATTTATCTTGAACTTATCTAATTAGAAATTTTTATATTAAAGTCAGGCTAATAGATACTATTTACACCCAGAACCACTCAAAAGGCACTTTTCTAGATGAGTATGTAATGCAAGGTTTTGTTAACAAGTCAAAGTTGAATTTTCTTTGATTAACCACTTTTTACCATTCCATACGATCAGTAACATATGCTTTTTTGAGAAATACGGTAACCCAGCAAATAAATGAAGATTAAAGATAAAATAATACCTGCTATAAAAGCAGATGCTAAAAGAGACAAAGGTCCATTATGTCCACTCTCATCTGCCATGGCCAATTTGGTATGAGCATACACAGGGAAATAGATGGCTGAGAAAGGAATATCCCTTAGGAAGCATGCTCTGGATCCCTATACAAAAAGAAAAAAAAAAAAAACTAACAAAAACTTTTACTTTTTACCAATTTGTATTGTCATAAAATTACAAAAAAGTACTATATTTATCTCAAAATAAAAAAGTTGAGTTGAAATAGATAAAAAAGTAACTACATAGAATTTGTTTTCTTAACTTGACATTTTAAGGAAAGAAAAACTTATTTAGAGAAGAAGAAATGAAAAGAAATTTAAGATATATATATATATATATATATTCTAGTGTTGTTGCTTCCAATATGTTTACTTTTGCACACATCCTCAAAAAATAAGCATATGATATTGAAAATACTTTTCTTACTAATTACTTTCAGAACTTTAATTTTCATTCAATAAGTAAATCACTTACAGCACAGTAAACACATTTTACATCATAACTGTAAAAACTATCAATAAAGATATGATTCACTGATCAAAATACCTTATAAAGTCCTCTTAGTCCTAGTTCTCTGATAACTCCCCAGGCACGAACTTTAGAACCTACAGCAGCCAACTCCCCTGCCACCTGCAGTCGAATTTTCACTATTTCTAATGGGTTCGTAAACATTACTTGAGAACCACCTGCCTATGATAAAAAGAGAACATTAGAGATATTTAATTTTTTCATTACCACATTGAATCCTGTAAAATAGTCCATTAAATAGTTTTATCTTTTTCGATGCCACATTTATTGATAAACAACTCTCCGATTGCAAGATTGTTTTTAAAATAGAATACAAAAACAAAAAGACATATTTCAAAATTTCTTTGCTTAAAAATTGAAACTGGTAAATTCTGAAAAGTTTGAAGTGGAAAAATTGTGCAAATTTCTATTCTTCTCCAAATAATTGATTATTAATTTCCTACCCATTACATATTCACTTTTATAAACAAGAATATCACAAATAAATTCACAAATGCCACCAGGGCAGTTAGGGACACAAAGGGGATAGACCATTAGAAAATATATTAAAATACACAGTTGTATAAAACTTCGGAACAAATAAAATTCATTAAAAACATTTTTTTATTTCCATGCAGAATCATCAAAGTTTTGGAAATGTTTCTTCACTCAAAACCATATTAAATCACAAGTACTACATCATTTACAAACTTTCCAAATAACACACATTTATACATACAAGTCAAGCAAGAATAAAATATTGCCACTTGTTTTTGCAATTCATTTTAATTAAAATAGAGGACTTGTGCATAAATGCAAATCATGTTCTGTTTCTTTGTTTAAACAAAAAACAGCACAATGGTTATCTGTGCCAAGGTTACAACATAGACTGAACACCAATTTCAGTGTTATAAGCTCTCAAGTTACAATGTTCTACTGTAGGTTAACCGTATCCAGATTGGCAAGCACCTTTCACATGTCAAATGCACACCTGTATATCAAATTCATAATTTATGTAGAACTAGTAGTTTTAACAATATTTCTACAACTTCTAATCTATAAATATTTTTATATTGATGTTTCATCATACAGTAATATTTTACTGTTGTTCACATAGAAAAAAGTTCAAAGTTTTATTTCTATACTTATATTTTTTTGTAGAATTTTTCTGCCCATGAAAGCATAGTTTTGTATTTGTCAAGATACTGTACTCTCTTGAGAATAATTAACCATGTCTGGTTTATCTTGTGATTTTCTTTCACTTTCACTGGTTTTAGTACTAAAGCCGTTTGTTTACACCCTTTATGATGTCACAGCATTTGACCTGAACAACTACTCTACTAAAATAAATGAAGCTTAGCTTTGACACTACCTACAGACAAAGTTTAAATACCATTGGATAGAGCAGATTATACACAATTTCAATTTAGAATAAATAGTGGTGTGAGCAGTAATTTTTAGATTAAATACCTGCAAGAATGAATAAAGGAATTTAATGGAATACTCATAGGAATAAACCACAGATATAGGACTTTGTTTATAGTTTCTTTAGATGCTCCTTTTGCGATGAAACCTTTTGAAGTAAAATCATATATTTTTTAAAACTACAAAAAATTTTTTTCTCTGATGTCATTTTGAAATGTCTACCACTAACTTTTGTCAGTTTTTCTGTGTTTCTCACAGTTTATAGCCAGAAGGATGACTAATGGAATTGGCAAAATAAAATACTAAAAGAAATATGTTAAGAAATAAATATAAATCAAGTTGAAACTAACTGGATATATAAAATGAATTTTCTAATCAACAGAAATTGGAATTGTCAGTCATTAGATAGTAGTTATGTTTTTCAAAACAGTCTCACAACAAAATTTGAGGATTTCACAACCTAAAAAAATGATAGAAAGAACGTATTAAATAATTTCAGTTGTTTAAAACTCGAACTAGATACTATTTCATACTTCTTGAGGTGTCATGAAATTTGGTTAATTATTTCAACTGTGAAAAAGGAAAAAAGAAAACGAAAGAATATCAATGACACCCCTACTTTTTGTTTACATATGTCACTGTACTGAGCTTGCTTCTAAGCAAACAGTTCTAAACTACTAAAGAATGTTAATTCCTAAGAATTCAATCATTTCAAAAACACTTACACAAGCACCAGCTAGGATCTCACCCCACAGTGGGATGTTTCCAGATTCAGTCATAATCTTGTCTCGTACAAGGTCATTTACCTAATAATTATTAACAAATGCAAATAAAAAAATACATTGAAAGAAACTATGAATGAAGAATTATGTTAAAACTTAGAATTTCTACAAAAAAAAATAATAACTGGACAATTAAGAAACAAAAGGGAAACATTTAAAAAAGAACCTCAATAAAATAAGTAGGAAAGTATACAATACTGTGTAATCTATAATAAAGTTAAGGACCACCAAGTTAATATGGAAACAACTTTAGACACTTTCACGTGTCCTCTTCAGTACAACTTCTGTTTGTGAAATACACACAAACACACACGCTGCTTATTTTGTAGGAGAAGTTCTATATGAAATCTTATATATTAAACCAACCAGAAATCTTCCAAAATAATATATAAGACTAGAAATTATGTCACAAGAAGAACTGTGAAAAACTCACTAATCCAAAGATTGCCAAACTTTAACAACTGTGAAGGTCACTTCAATTGAAATCCTTTCTCATGTCTTATGCCCTGAAGCAACTTGGAACTTCCTCTAAAATAAGCAGTGTATTTTTCATTCTAAATTAATAGTTGGACTGAAGAGGACACGTGAAAGCATCGTAACTTGTTACTCCCTAATAGTGGACCTTTATTTTATAGATACAAGGTTTTTAAAACATTACCATTTAAATCAGCCGAGTTAAAATGACTCACTTTATAGTGTCTCAGAAAAACATTTATAGTAGACAATACATTAAATTTCATTAAGAAAAAATTAAGTATATTGTTTCCATTTGAATGAGACACAATTTCTTTTCTAATTTTTAATAAGTTGACGTACATAAATTTGCATGTTTAAGAAAATTTTTATGTAAATCTATGCAAACAATTCTGAGCCCCAAAACAACATGATACACATATGGGGAGAAAAACTGACAAATACAAAAAATTTAAAAGTAGATACTTGCTGTGAACATCCATTTACATATATGTGCAAACTTTCAATATATTTCATAGAATCAATATTAAGTATCTCCAAACCTCTTGATTCCCTCATTTCTGAGGCCCCCAAACTCTTTCAACATTTTTTTTTCTTCATTTATGTGCAGTGGGGTCAAAAGTCTACATGCAAAATGTCAATTCCTTTTGTCAAAAACTGTGAGAAAGAGTTCAAAAATCAATAAGCATAGATATATAGGTAAAACTGCAAAATAGAATACAGACATATCTACACACACACACACATGCATTCATGCTACCATGCATTATTCATGGCATGCTAAAAAGATACTTCTAGTTCCACTCAAGCCTTTGTAACTTATTCTATTCATTAGGTTTGAGCCTATCATAATGGTCTAACTATTATTATAATGATAAAACCAATACAGATCCAAACACTATTAAAACAAAATTTTGAAGCTAAAGTAGTTTAGTTATGAGAGAAAACAGGTAATTCACAAATTCAAAATTGTACACATTTCACACTGAGTCTCATAACCTTTGATCTCTATCTAACAACCAAACTTTTACGAAATAAAGTTGAAAATAATCTTTTTAGAAATACTGCATTCATAAGAAAGTCATAGTTTGTTTTTCTTCAAGCCAGCAAATTTCAACTATTAGCTGCTAGGCAATGAGTACGTTTACTATATTATTTGCATATCATTTATCAGCATATCTAGAAGCTCAGACAACAAATGCACACCACATAAAAAAAAATATATAAAGTATGCTGAGAAAGAAGATACTCTCACTGTTAATTTGATAGCCTTCTCAGGACAAACTCCAACTAGTTGTGGAAGAAGTCCACGATAAAGGCCCATGAAACCTTCATGTCGAATAACTTTTGATGCACAATCAAAACTGTTTTGATACATCAGCTCACCAATGTAAGAGCCTGTCCTCTGATTCTGCATCCGGGTTTTCACAAGATCAATAGGATAGACCATAGTAGCTCCAGCCGCTGAAAATACACAGCAATGGTAGGAAGTGTATTCAGTTTGTTTCAGAAATTCAAAAGGGTTATTTGTACTAGCCATCTCTAATTTTGAACTGATAGACTAGAGAGAAGGCAGCTACACAATAGCTCCCACTGCCAACTTTTAGGCTACTCTAATTGACTAGTGAGAGTTGGACTTCACTTTAATAATATACCCATGACTAAAAAATATGGAGTACATAGTTGTAGCAATGGAAGAGAATATTATACCCTCAGATTGACAGTCTGGTACAATAAACACTAGGCCACACCCAACCAACTGATATAAAATATAAATGGAAAAGTTACTATATATATATATATAGATTTCAACTTAAAAACTTATTGCTATATATATATATATATATATATATATATATATATATATATACTACTACAACCAAACCCGTAACGTACGTATAATAGTAGTATAACTAACACACTACTAACTAAACTAACGACCACCTAAC